GCTCGCCCCGTACCTCGGTTTCAGCGGATCCGTCGAGTACTCGGCGTAAAATCCGTACTCCTCTGCCAACGCCCCCATTGTTTTGACTGCACAGACGGCCGAGTCGCACCGCTCCAACGCGATCCGAGACAGCTCGTTGATGCTGAATAGGTTGTGGCCGTTGGGCATGTCCAGTGGGTACCCAACGGTCTTGGCGGCACATGTGGATTCGCCAATGCTGAGCTGCACTTCATTCTGCATGCCGTGGGAGACGTCCCAGTACGCGTATGTCGAGTTCACTTGGGGAATATACCCCAACGGCGTCGACACCGACTGGTTGGTCTGCGGCGCGTAGGCAGGCCCTCGGTCGGCAGATACAAACCGCGGGTAGCCGTGATGCAATGCATCATTGTACACTGGGCGCTGGGCAGCTGGTGGATGGGACATGGCCGGGACTCGAACAAGCCGGAGGTCCATGGGTATCCACATGCTGTCCATGGTGGACCCGACAATGGCAGAGCCATCGAGGGTCGCCTTGGCTCCAGCCCCCACGAGCGAACACGCCGACGTTGACGGCGCGATCAACAGAGCTGCGACTACGATGCGGTGGGGTGGCATCGGCAGCTTCCGTTTGGTCAATACGGAGCTGCTCTCCATTTCCCCGACCAAGTGGCATCTTTTATCGTTCGAATTCGTGGAATTTCAGGACGGTCTCGAACATTTTCGTCGTCGAACAAAGACTTGCGACACCAAACACAGGCAACGCTGCATTTCGCGGTGCGGATGACCGACGTGCTGTGCATTGCCAGACGATGGATGGTGTAGGGGGAAGCTCAAGTCGTGAACGGGCCAACGACGTGCGGCCTAAACTACCAGAACAACACAAGCAAGGGGCTGGGATGGACAGACTCGAATCGATCGAGCATCGTCGGGACGCTGTTTACGTCAAATGCTCCGTGTGGGTTCGCTGGTCCGTCCGACATAGCGTGGGCAAATTGTTTCATGCATCCAGTTGTGGAGGACTGGCCTCTCGATGATGCACAGAATCGGTGGAGGGGCACATCCGCCAAAAGCATCCCGCATGATCCAAACCCTGTGTTCGTTGGTGTTTCGCCTCCAAATGCACACACGTTGTCGAAATTCGTCGATGAATCCACCATGTTTTTCGACATCGGATCGTCCCGAGGCAGGACTAGCTAGGAAAAGCTCTCGATGGAATCACACGGCACACGGCCAACCAAAGGGCTAGACAACAGCGACTTCCTCGACAGCTTCCACTGGAGCATCGGCGGTCTTCTTGGCATCGCCCGACTCGGTGGCCTCCGTCTTGTTACCCGACGCCACTGCTTCCCGCACGTGACACACTAACGCAATGATACCAACCAAGAACGACAGGGACATGGTGCCGCAGACAAACCCAACGACGAATCCGCTCGGCAGGTCATACTCTTCGTCCAGCTTGGAGCTGCCGACCAACACGGACGCCACGCCCGTCTCGGGGTCCACGGCAGCAGCAATGTTTTCTTCGATCGCCACCTGGGCCGGCGGGTTGTAGTGCTGCGGATACAA